ATCAACATCCACATTATTCGATGCCCCCTCATCAACACTATCTATGTTCCTTTTTCGTTGAAAGTATCTATTCATTTGATATCTGGATTTAAACATTTGATATCCAGTTATTACTTGAAGTGAGTGAGAATAATTCATAATAACAAAAGGATCATAAATTCACAATTTCAATTCGCAAGTGTAATTCACATTTCACAATCCAATTCATAATTTCACATTATCAATCCAATTTCACAATATCAATTCACCTTCCAAATCGCAAATTCACAATGCAATTTCACAATTTATACTATTTCACAATTTCAAAATTTATACTATTTCATTGTGATGGCAGAAGCAAACCCAACTAAACAAGCCAAAAATATTCTATGTACTCATCTTGTACCCAACTATACATTTAAAGTTAGAAAAAGCACCAACTATGTACTCATCTTGTTTCTTAATGGGCATCTTGGGGCTGAAGGGATCTTTCTTTTCCACCTCTTCAAACTCCGACTTCTATAATTCATGGAGAAATTTCTTAAACAGTTGAAGGCACTCGAGTGTGAACATTACTACAGTTAAATGAAACACGTCCCTATGGAAACATCGATCAATCAAATTCCTAACGAAGGTAATCAATTCATCCCACCAATTCTCCACTCCCTGGTTCAATATTCTCCTACTAGTGTCACTCTTCTCAAATGAAACATTATTCAGAGCTAAACACACTTAACAAGTGAACAAGTACTATTTCATTGTGATGGCAATTTCACAATTTATACTATTTCAAAATTTATACTATTTCACAATTTCACACTATCAAATATCAATCCAATTTCACAACATAAATTCACATACCAAGTTAGTGAAGTTACTGACAGAGTGACTGAGTGAGAAACTGAGAAGGACTGAATCAATGAGAATCTGCAAAATCGAAGAAATGAAAATTAGGCAGCAGGCAAAATCGAAGAAATGAAAAATTAGGCAGCAGACTTGCACTGGCAGACGGCTCACGGCACTGCAGTTCAGTTGGAATTTGGAAGAACATCTAAATTCGAAATTAATTACCTTCTTTAGTCTTTACAGGCGGCAGCTGGTGGTGCGAACCGTGCGGCACTGCGGTGGCGCCTTGCAGACGGTGGTTAAGTTGCGGTCACCGACTTCAGTTTCGGCCTAATCTAGACGGCAGGGGCCGAGGGCGGAGCTTACACTTAGTTACAGGGAGGCGGGAGCTAAGGGAAGGAGATTAAAGCCCACACAAAGGAGATGCCGGCCACCGGTGACCGGTGCAAGGGCGTAGCGACTTTGAGTTTAGCGCAGGCGAGAGACGACTGGAGAGAGAGGCGATTGGATTAAGGGTTTGGGCAGATTTTGATTTCAAATGGTTTAAGAATGATGGGTCTGGGTCGGTAACGTAAACGGGCTATGGGTTGTGGTTATTTGGGTTGGGCTTCCATCTGGATATTTACTTGTTAAATAGGCTTTCAAAAACCAAAAAAAAAAAAAATATATTTGGGCCTAAAGGAGCCCAAAAGGTCAGTGCCACTGGACCTAATGGGGCTCCGCCCCTGCCCAGAAGTGGTAAAGTCATCGAAGGGCATTTCTTTCTCTCCAAGGAAATATGCATTGGAGACAATGGAAGACGTTGGATTTTTGGGAGTTAAGCTAGCAAGGTTTCCAATGGAACGAAACTGGCCTATTTGTAGGAAGATTGATCTAACTAATCATTACTAGACCAGATTTGGTCTTTGCTGTCCATGTTTTAAGTTAATTTATGGACAAACCACGTTTACCACATTTTGAGGAAGCACATAGGGTCCCTTGAAGCGAATGCCAAGACAATGTATTTTGATGTCCTCCATAAGCACACTTCAATTAAAGGCTTTTTGTGATGCAAGTTGGGGACGTTGCAAAGACACAAGAAGATCTAGAATAGGATATTGTGTATTTCTTAAAATATCACCAATATCCTGGAAAATAAAAAAGCAGACCACGGTGGCCATATCAACGGCCGCGGCAGAATATTACTCTTAAGGCTACTAAATGATGTGAAATTACTTGGTTGAAGGACTTGGGAACCAAGCATCCCGAGCCGGTCATGTCCTGCGATAACCAAGCTTCTTGAATCTTTACAGATTGCCTCAAATTCGATCTTCTATGAACGAACGAAGAATGTCGAAATTGATTGTCACTTAGTTCATTAAAAGATTCAAGAGGGCTTGATCAAAACAGCACATGTGAGGACCAACGATCAAAGTGCAAGCTTTTATTGACTAAGGCATTGAGTACATCACAATTTGTAGTACCACTCAGCAAGTTGGGCGTCATCAACATCAACTCCAACTCGAGGGGGAGTGCTCAAGACACTCAAGTAAAATATGAAAGTAAATAATATATATTGCTGTACTATTAAAGTAGGAAAGTAAATATTGCATATTGATGTAATTAGTCTGTTTCTATACAAAGTATACTTATTTAATCATAGTAGCGTGCTAACCCATTATTTTCTCATTTATACAGAGTATAATTACATTTGTGTGCCATCTATTTCATTAATTTTATGCAGGGGAGACTAACATAGCGACTAAAGTGTGAATTTTTCAAAGTTGAATGACTAAAATTTTGTTCTCCGCATCTATTAAAAATGACTAAATCCCAATGTTCTAAAAATCGAACTAGACCGATCGATTCAACCGAGAAAATCAGGAGCGTGCCTCAAATCCAATTTGATTATAGAATATTAACCAGAAATAGAAAACCGATGATAAAACCGTTAAACAGGTTGGTTTGACCGTGCAACAGAAAACCATTTTTGGTTTTTTACAGTTTAGAATTTTTATTTTTTTTATATAAAAATTTCACCTTTCTTGATGGGCTCACTTATTGAACTAACAAGCCCGTTTAGAATTTTCTTCTGGGTGCCATTACCATTTATAGAGACTTCTTTTTCATTGTCTTCACTATTCTTCGAATGCAGGACAAGTGCTAAACCATTTTATAGTGACTCCTCCTCTATTGTTTTCATTACTCTTCCAATGTGAGATAAGATTTGTAGCCAATTTCAAATATTTAATAGTTTACTCATTATATCCATTACCAAATCATAGCCCCGACAAATCCATAATCAAAATTAATTATATTTTGAATAAAGCAATTATTTTGAATATATTAATTTGTTAATTTTTAAAGTTTTAAAATAAATTAAGATAATAGATTTAAGTAACAAACATGAATTTATATTTACTTTGAAATAGTAAACTAAAACTGAAAATTTTTTATTATTATTATTACTACTACTACTACTACTACTACTACAACAATATTTTTTAGTTTTCTTGCGTATATATTTATTTAATTTTGGCATCCGGTTCGACCCTGATCTGATTCTGAAATGGTTTTTAAAACATTGCTAAATTTTCAAGTCTAGTGGGTTTGGCACACTATTATGATTACACAAATAAGTTGTATTGTCAAGTGCAATTAAAAATGCTAATCTCTTTAGCACTTCATATTATCACGACTCTGTCTTCATAAGTAGTATCACGTGTTGTCATTCACTTCTGTCACCTAGCTACTTGCAAAAGGTTACCTACGGAATAAAAGTAGATGGAATGAAAATATGAAGTTGATGAGAAAAGGAAAAATATATAGAAGAAATTTGGTAACAAAGGCAATTAACTATAATTTTTATTAAATTAAATCCAGAAGGGACTGTAGACACGAAATTTAGGCTTTGCAGTGCATGCACTAAGTCCACATAATAATAATAATAATAATAATAATAATAATAATAATAATAATAATTGGAATGGAGAAAATGCAAAGGACTCTACCAAGTAGGGGAAGATATCTCAATAAATGGCCAAAAGTCGTTTGAATATTCGAAACCTTAATGTGTAATATTCCTTGTAATAGAAGTCAAGTTCATGCCTATCCTCTGGAGAAGGAAACAAAATAGATAACAGCTGCATGGTTACAAATTTGCTATGAATTGTTATTTTCTTAATTTTTTGTAGCTGTTAGGCTACGCATCTTAATCCATGGATTGTCTTGCTCTACATATATAACTATAGATTAAATTCCTGTTTGGTCACTCAATCTACTTTTCTATCTTCAATAATAATCATTCAACTTTGAAATATTCATAGCTATGTTAGTCTCCTCCGCCTAAAACTAAGGAAACAGATTGCACTAAAATGGAACGATAGCAGCCAAAGCATAGGACCATTTTTCACAAAAGAATTAATTATGTGGTTGAAATGAAATAATTTCACTTTTTCTGCATTGAAAGCATTATTTTGCTTTGCAACTTGAGAAGATGTGTATGAACGAGATATCTAGCAACAAGAAGAAGGAAAATGATTGAATAGAGGAACTCCCGACCAGTTGGTGCACTTGCCAGAAATACTAGGCCTACTAAAGGCACAAAAATAGTCCCCAAAATAAAATGAAAAAAAATTAGAGGAGGGGTCACGGAAGAAGATTCACGTTTTGTGAATAGTCGAGACATTGAAGAATATCTTCAATTTTAATATTTTTCTTTCAAGAACATGGAGAACAAGGCTAGAAAGAGATTTACCGCAAAGAATGTTACGAGTTTGAAGATTTACGGCTTAGAATTGATGATCCAAAAAAAAAAAAACCAAAGGATTCTACTTTTTTCTACACTTCTATATTCTGAATGATGAATTTTCATAACTTTTGTTGTATTTCATTATAAAGATGTTAGGCAAAATTGTTATTGTCGGGATGAAGACGTAAGCATTATTTTACCGTTTTAATTCAAAGAACGTTTTAGTTTAATTTGTGTAATTGATTGATATTTCATGCATTTGGATTATTTGAACGCTTGATCAACATTTATATAATAAAATTCTTATTTTATTTTTGGGAGGTTTAAAATAAGTCTAGAACATTGTGA